TCTCTCCACTCTCTTTCTATATGCATCCCAGGAGCTGTGATATAGATGGAACCCCTTATCACACTGCATCATATTTCCTAAGTGCTAATTTCCCAATGTGTAATAAGTGAATTATATTTCTTAGGGTCAGATGCAGGGACTTAGGAATATAGCAATTGAATTGTAATGCATGCTATCATAACATAATCAATATATCTATAGCTGTTCCAGGCACTGGCTTACCTTCACCATTTGTCTGAAACGTGCCCTTGCTGTGAAGCCCCGCCATATCTTCTGTACAGTGATTGCCTTCATGTGCAGATGGCTGTAATAAAGTCATATTGAGGAAGAGGACTGGATGGATATTTTTATTAGCTAAAATGAAGGAAAACACTTAAAAAGTTATTCAAGAGGAAGGACATTATTTTTTTCTTTATTGATAATTTGCTAGTTTATTTCTGCTCAGAAATTGAGCACAGAAAAATGAAGAAAATTAAAACCTGGGAATATAAAGGTATATAAATACAGTACAGTATAATATAAATATTAAATATTTCCTAAAATCACTAAAATAAACTAATCTTTTTTGTAAAATGATAAAGAAATGAATTTTTTTTTGTAGCCAAATGTTAGGTTGTAAAGAACTTCAATTAAAAGGTCAGGAAAACATTATGCCCAAGAACACACTCTCACAAAGACACACACACAGAACATAGCTGCTCCTCCAGGCTTTCTGATCATGTCCATTGAGCCTTTCACCCCTTTTAGTCAGTGGCACACATTTGTATTCATCCTCAAAGACACCCTAAATGCAAGACCACTGAGATTCTTTGCCTCCAATGAGGCCATCAATTTCCAAAAGGCCATTTATATGCCCAGAAAATCAATGCTTATAGTGGGGATAGCACAACCCCAGAGTTGCACTTAGGCAGCTAAAATTGTTGCTAATTATCCACTTAACACATTGATCAATTAACTAAAGTAATCTGAATTAACCTACTATCTGGAAGTTTGTCTGCTGACCCTGCAGAATGGTGGAGAGGTCATAGCATAGGAACAGACACAGAGATAGAGACATTCATTTCTCTGTGTGTGGAAGGAGCCCAGTGTGCAAGCCACATTTATTCCTCCAGGCCATTTGCAAAGCCCTAGAAGTGGGATAATTATGGGTGTGAGCTAGTATCACGGTTTTCCTTGAAATTAACTCTTATAGTCTCCCTGAATGTTTTTCAGTCCCTGAAGGAAAAAGAAACCCTCAAATTGGTATATAAAATATTAAGGCCTGTATTCCCTTTTTGCCTGTGGCAAATGAAGGAGTACTGAAAGTCTGCTTTTTCTGGTTTACAAATCCAAATTAGGCTGACACACAGTCCCCTACACATACACATTATACTGTACCTGAGGTAAGCCCGAACCCGGCAGGCTCTGAACCAGCTCTGAATCCGGGTGGCGGCCTCAGTCTCCCTCTGTCTGTTCTCCTCGGCTTGACTAAAGCACACACACATAAAATATCACTGCTCTGTAGGTACACTAGCAGTATCACTATGCACCGGGCGCACTGTATTGCTTCAAAGGACAGATGTTATATTCTCGAGGTATTTTCAAAATCAAATTATAGGCTAATCACACCGTCTTTGCTAAAACACAAGAAAAATATAAAGTATAAGACATGACCAAGAAATAATGATATAAATGATATCATTGATGAGTGATATATCAGTGATATGAAATATTCACTTTTCAGCAACATTTTTCACACTGACTAACACATTCAGTTAATATCCCGGGTCAGAGATACAATGGTAGTTTAGCTAGGTAACCACTGTTACTACGAATATGGGATGCTAGCAGTTTAACCAACGAAAGCATGACGCTAGCGTTAACGTAGGCTAATTGGTTTGGCTGTGACTGCCAAACCGCTTAACAACGGCCACAGCGGCATGTCAGATTTCAATAAAAAGTATTCATGATACATACTTGTTTCTGCATAAGTATTCCTTTTTGAACTCTTCAACTTCACTTTTCATTTTCAGCAGCTCCGCCATGTCTAATTCGTTGTGAGTTTTACCTGTTGTCTTGACAACACAGCTGTTTCCCAGGAGGTACGAGTTGCGTTCAAATCCTCTAGGAAAATAGAGCTTTCTTTTTCACATGATGAACAATGTTTAGTTCACAGTCCCTATAACGCGAGCACTGTCTGTTAAATCTATCTGCGACGTGACCCCTGCATGTACAGCACCTTATGTAATCAGTCAGCACAGACTGCTACGTTACAAAGCCTGTGTTTTGTTATACATCTACTAGTATTTTATTTCCATCCCTCTGAAATCTAGCGTCCCTGTAAATTTAGTTTTATCTGTTTGATAACCTACTAGTTTCTGAGTGTTTTAGCAGAAAATACCTCTGTTAACATTTACACTTCACTTTGCTCAAGTGCTGGGCCAGCATTTATTTTTAACTTTATAGAAAATGACTTATTATTTATAAATTAATTTCTTTAATAACAGACGAACACCAATACTAATACATAACAAAAAACACACACGCCACCACCACCTCCTATCCCATCACACCAGCCTAGTGGCTACTGAAGCAAAAATACAGCATAAGTAATATAAAAGTGTGAGGGGGGGGACCCAAGGCATTTTATAAAGACCTGCTCAGATGCAGATTGTGGATCTGTTTATTGATCAGCCAGCTGCCTCAGCTCTTCCATACGTCCATTTCCCTCCTTTCGTGACGTTATCACCCTTCATCATACAGTTATCAGTTTATTTCTCTCTGCTCTTCCTTCCGTATTTCCCCTCGTTGTCAGTCCTCCACTCCTCTTCAACTATATTCACCTGTCAAAATAGGCACCTCAGCAGGTTGAGTGTGTGTTTGTGTGTGCACTTTTGTATCTATGCATTAAAAAATATCTGTCTGGCCAATAGTCAGAGGAAAAAGGCTGTATTATGGATTACTCCTTAGAGACAGGCAACAACAAATAGGGAAAATGATTCTGTGTGTATCTGTCTCCATTCTCTTTCCTGTCTGTGTACCAGCGTTCCTGCTTCTCTGTGAGCCAGGCAGTGCTTGTTTGACTTTTTTTTGTGTCTCTCTGTCCTTCTCTGAGGCCAATTTGCTGTCTGAGGTCCACCATAGTGGTAAAGAGAGTAGGCAGACTTCCTAGGTAGAGTTATGGCTGGAAGGGTGAACCTATGGTGGCTCAGTCCATCCATCGAGGGGCAGCAGGAGGCCGCCCACCCTGGTAATTACCAGAGAAATGTTGTTGTGACAAGACTGGATGTGAGTGAGAGATTTTTAGGGAATTGTTGTTTCTGACAACACTGTAAGGATGACTGGAATCCATTTGTCCTGCTGCAGCACTGATTAGGTGTCACCAGGTATGTATCTGTGAGGGAATGATACAAAAAAGAGTGAGAATGAATGTCTCTTTTGGCTTGTTCCCATTAGTTGACACAGTGAATTGTCACACTGACTATTCGCATTTTAACATTTGGCACGTGTTTTACGCCGGATGCCCTTCATGATGCAACCCTGACTCGAACCCGGGCCACAGCAGCGAGAGCGCTGCGCTTCATAAAGAGACACACTGTTTACACACTGTCTAATGACCCACTGCTAGAACCACCCAGATCAGCATCTTCTTCATGTCCCTAATACAGTCCACCATAAAATCTATTGCTCCGCTCTCATCTGTGCTTATATCTTCCCCTCTGTACTTTTACCTGATCTTGCTAATTCCCGCTGTCCTCCATCCCTTTTCAATCAAAACATTTTTGTTTCTCAGTGAGGCACTAATTTCTTATCCAGGATTACTCTTTTATACCCTCTCATTCTCTGTCTCTCTTTCACTTTCTGTTTTTGCTCCGTCTCTCCATACGGGGCATGTTATTTAACATGCCTCAAGTCACCTCTCACAGTCAGGAAGCTCATCCAACCAGTCATTCTCCATGCCCATTGTTCCTAAATGAGGGCCATATGCGCTGTGGCCAGCACTGGTCATAAAGACACACACACACACACACAGTGGTGATACGAGTGTCTATGTGCGAGGCTGTCACACTTTGCTCTGCACAGTACGTGTGTATGAATCATTATCGTGTGTCAGCGTATGAGTGATTATACTGTATGAGTGTCTGTGTAAGAGGTGTGTGTGTGTGTCTGTCTGTCTGTGCATGTGTGTTCCTACAGCAGGGTGTGGCGCGTGGAATGTGTGTTTCTCGGCAGGGCCAGTCCGGCCATTATTATTAAACATCTGTCCGCAGCACATTAATTCCCCCACTCTGACGCGTCCCTCTCTGCCCAGGGATCACTTAATTGAAATCCATAATGACTCTTTCTCCTCTTCTCTCCCACACTAAGCAAAGTGAAGCTTGAAAAGATGTCTTGTATGGAAAAGGAGGCATCTATCAGCTGTTATATCATTTTATCACCCATACTTTTTAACAGCCTGATGCCTTTTTAAGGTCACACACTACATCTTGATTTTGTGAAAAAAAAAAAAACCTGAGTGTATTACCTGGCACATTTCACTAATTAATCAGCTTAATGTGTTTAATTGTCTCCATTTGGCTATTGGTCAATATATTCCAACACAGCTTTATGCTATATTTTTTTAGATCATTTAATAATCTAAAATAAAGAATTATGATCAAACTGAAGTTGAATAATGACAATTAGATTGCAGCCTAGTGCTAAATAATATGTTCAGCTCAGAAGTGTTACAGATGATTTTAAGGTATCCTGGACCATGCTGGCTCTGAGCAGAACAGTCAGGGCCCCACTGTTTGTATGGGCTCTCTGTGTTTCCATTAATATGACTGTTCCAGTTTTAATATCTGGAAACTAAAAGTATATATTTGACTGGGGCTATAGATATTTTTTTCAATTTAAAACAAAGACAGCAATGGTTATTAAAAAATGCTTATGTTGTTGTGTTGTTACACACATTCTCAAAAGGACAGTTTTTAAAAAAATTGTGAATCACTAGATAACTGCAGATATATTCAGAATAATCCTTAATGTTCATTTTAAATTTAAGAACATGGCCAAATACAAATGAGGGTAACCCAGGGTTTGAGTTTGGTGTTACTGAAACTGCTTTAATCTGAAATTCTTGAATCTTTTTTATAGATCAGTGCAGGATATTTTCACGAGACCTTATTTTCTCAGTTTCTTCTGTTTAAACTTTTAAAATTCCCTACCAAATATAGGGCTGGCTCCAAAAAGTTATTAAAGCACTTCCAGTTTGTCAAATTTGTGACACTAAAATGCTCATGAAAATGTGGAGAGGGTCCTTACACCAAAACCTCACCTAGACCCTGGAAGGCGCAAGGGTTTCCCTGATTTTCTTGCAAAACTGTGCAAATCTTTCCTTCATATTTTCTACCTTGGGCTGCTGTTACTTTTTACAGTGGCAATGCTTTTAAACCAATTTGAAGTCAACTCTTTATCCCTCTCTATCCCACCCGCTCCCTCCTACCTTTCCTCATTCCCCATCCTAATATCCTACTAATGGATAAAAACTATGATTGTGCTGGTAGAGGAGCAATATCATAACTTTATTAGCTCACCTATACCCACAGAGAGAAGCAGAGAGAGAGAGAGAAGTAATGAATTGAGCATTGTGTAAAATAGTTTAATGCAGGGGTGGTTCATCATTATTTGTGGCGGATTGCATGCAGACAGGGGTGATTCATTAGTGTGGTCGTTTCTGTCTGTGTGTGTGTGCATGTGGGTGTGTATGTCCCACCACCCAGAAGGACATTCGCTGCTGCCGGCCCCACTGTCACAATGAGAGATTCGTCACCACACACACATTCACTAACACACGGGGGCTACAGTACACGTGTGGCATTATTGTTCCATCATTAGTCCTCTCATTCTTCTTTTCAACAATTTGTCATTTTGTTGTCTGTGGTGACCGCATGTTTTCTGAAAAGATAGTCAGACCCAGATTTACGCACATTAAACTGGGTTTGAAAAAAAAATCACAATGTAGTGATGCAGGATTCAAGTCATCATTAAATAAAAATGCAACATTCCAAAGTTGGGTTGCAATTAAATTGTGACTAGGAAATTATTCAGATGCCTGAGCCGATTTCTAAAGCAGGTTATGACATAATATAAGAATTAATAAGAGTCACTATTACTTACATCTCTCCATCCACTGTCTGATGATATAAAACTGCCCAATATTTTTTGTCTGACCACAACCTTGTTTTTTTGCAGAATTTTCCAAGTCTCCAAACGTATGGTAACAAACCGTGTGACCCTTATTCAACACAGCACACAGTCACATTATTTTACCAGTTTTTTAGGACAGGCTTTCTAACTGCACTTCCATGCATAGTGTTTAACATGTGCAGCTAAAGGTGCAGTACAGTGAATGTAGTGGACAAGTTTGTTTTAAGGCTCTCAATTTGAAACTTCAACTTTCTTAAGTGTTTAATAAGGAGGGAAGACAAAACAGAACAGCAATCAAATAGAAGAGAGAGTAAAGATAAGGAAAGACATTTATAGTTGCCTGATTGCCTCATGTGATGGCCATTCCCAGTCATTTTCTCCTTTCAAAATAAAACCCTCAGTAGTTTAAAGGAATGTCGTTTTTTTTTCCAGAAACTCAGTATTGGAGAGGGAACTAAATCATCCAGTGTGTACTCTGATCATGGCAGGGAGTGGGCATGCAGCTAACACTTTGCCGTTTTCTCCCTCTTTGTAGCACTTCACCACTTACGCTTCACTTGTTCTTTTCATCTACCCGTACCCAACCACCAATGCACTCATCTCCTGCTCTCTTATTCAGATTTGTCTTTGTCTTTTGCTTCCTCTGTCTGGCTTGCATGGCGTACTAGCTTCATCTTTGTCTTCCCTTATTTTTCAACATTTTGACTGTCCCTTTGTCTTTCCTTCTGTTACTTTGACATTAGCCTCTTTTTCTCTTTGTTTCCCCCTAATCCTGCAGCTGATTGTTAATTTCTTTAAGGTACACACTTCACATTTCTGGTGTTTAAATTACAAATGACCTATATTATGTTCACAGTGATGGCAGCAACCTTTGTAACTAGACACAAAAGAATTAAACATAGATCTTATGT